AGCAGCCATGCCGAAGCTCCCCCACCAGCCAGCGCAGCCAGCCCGCCATCCAGAGCGCCCCTTCGGCGCTGGTCCCACCGCCCACCGCGCCCCCTCCGCCCCGACAGCTTGATTTTGGCACTGCGCCGGCCCCGCCAGCCAACGCACCCCCTCCGCCCCGACCGATTTATTCCGGCACGGCACCAGGCCCCGGACCCAGCCTCCTCACCTGGCCCTAGCCCCTGCCCCCCCCGCCCCGAACGCTTTATTTTCGTTTGTCGTCGTCCCCCTGGTCCTGGTCTTCGACCCAGCTTTCACCCTGGTCCTCGACCAGACCCCCTCGTCGTCGCCACCCTGGTCCTGTCCTTGGACCCAGTGTCCTCACATGGCCCTGGCCCCAGCCCCCCTCTCCCTGGAACCTTCATTTTCGTTTGTCGTCGTACAGTCAACCCGTCTAGTTTGGATGCGGGATAAGGATGCAAGGGCTTTGGATGTCCATTTCGAAGTTTCCCGAGCGGGGCGCAGCCGACGGAAGTGGTCAAGGATAGACCGAAAAGGCAAAGATGCGAGGGTACCCTTGGGAAGGTTGCCCATCCTTACTCTGCGGGTTGACTGTACCCCTGGCCTTGGCCCTGGACCCAGCCCCCCTCGCGCCGGACCCTTTATTCTCCTTCGTCGTCGTCCCCCTGGTCCTGGTTCTGGCCCTGGGGCCAGCCTCCCTCCCTGACCTGGCCCCATCCGCCCTCGACCCCTGGTCCTGGCACCTGGACCCAGCCTAACTACCCCCCTGGTCGTTGCCCCAGCCCCCCTCGCCCCAGTGTCCCTGTCCGTGGACCCAGCCTCCCCATTTGGCCCAGCCTCGAAAATCTATCGTGCTTCAGCTGCCAACAAAAACTCATTCGAGCAGGTCCCAATCGACAACCGCTGATTCAGCACCAGGGCGCCTTGGCCCCACCAGCCCCTTCTCTCCTCCTCCTCCTCCTCCTCCTCCTCCTCCTCCCCTCCTCCTCCTCCTCCTCCTCCTCCTCCTCCTCCTCTCCTCCTCCTCCTCCTCTCTCCTCTCCTCTCCTCTCCTCTCTCCCTCCTCCTCCTCCTCCTCCTCCTCCTCCTCCTCCTCCTCGCTTCCTTGATCTCCCCCACCTGCGTCTCCTCCTCATTCTCTCCTCATATGTGCAAGAGCCATAGCCCGCGTGCCACTCGTTTTCGTCGTGGCTCGTGGTTCGTCGTGGTTCGTCCCCCTCGGCCCCTCACCTGAGCCTGAGCACCCTCCTGTGAGAAAGAGGCGCGGGCCTCCAGTCCTTCGCTGCTCCTTTGTGCAAGAGCCAGGCCACGCGTGCCACTTGTTTCGGCGCACCCCGTAGGGAGTTCCGCCGAAGGCTCCAGTGGGAGGGTTCGCATGACACCCCCTCGCGCGTCTCGTGGCCCCAGAGGATGCTCCACCGAAGGCTCCAGTGGGAGTGTTCGCATGGCACCACCGCGCCCAATTCGGCACGCCCCTCACACGGTTTGTGGCCCCATAAGGAGCTCCACCGAAAGCGGTACCCACAATGTGGCATTTGCAGTTGCCTATGGTTGGGTCTTTCGTCAAGCTAATGCTTATGCATGCCGTTCTGGAGCCAGCTTGGCGGCCTTTTGAGCGATCGTGGGGCCTCTTGGACCGTCGGAAGGCCGACACGCATGACATCCCAACATCCGTTTCCAAATCCCGAAGGCAAATCATAATTTAGGCTCTACGGGACTTCCTCAAGGACCTCTTGGAGGCTTCTTTGGTCATCGTCGGGGCCTCTTGGGCGCTTCTGAGGCCGTCTTGGGCTCTCTTGGACAATATTGGCGGTCTTAGAGGCATCTTGGAATCGTCTTAGAGGCCATCTTGGGGCTATCTTGAGCTCTCCAAGGGCCATCTTGACCGTCTTGGCGGCATTGTGGCCGTCTTGGAGGCCATTTGCAGGCCATCTTCAGCTAAAAAGCGCAGGGGCAGCCAGAGGCATCAGCCGAAGCCACAGGGACGTTGAACGTTTTCTTGCTGGTTGAATTAAACATGGCTTATATAAACAAACGTTTTAAAATCTAGCACGCCGGGCACCCATGGTGGCAAGACCATAGGGGGCGGTGATCGAATGATCTTCGGCCCATCCCGCCACCGTGCCTGGGTTGTGGGTCGAAGGCCTCTTGGATGTACGTTGGGATCTCGCCGAGGCCTCTGAGGGCCTGTTTTGGAACCTCCTGGGGCCCCGTTGAGGCTTCTTGGGGGCTCATCCGGGCATCTTGTGGGCCTCTTGGGAGTCTCTGGGGGCCTCCTGATTTGATTGCCTCTTCTGGCGGCTGGCTCTGATTTTCGGTTCGTGTTCAACCTCGTGGGGCCGTCTTGGGGCCATCTTGGACCGTTTTGAGCGCCTCTTGGGCCATCTTGGGGCCCTCTTGGGACGTCTTGGGGCTCGCTTGGAGGCCTCTAGGGCCGCGTTGGGGCGGTCTTGGGGACTGGCTGGAACATCTTGGAGCGTCGGAAGCTCGAAAAGTGGAGAACCCCCAAAACGTTGAAAAACCAATCGGGAAACATGTTTTTGGCCTCGCGAGGCCCTCTTGGGAAGGCACTTGGAGGTCTCTTGGGACGTTTTGGTTGCTTTTTGATGGCCGACCAGAGGCCATCTTGGTCGTCTTGGACCGATTGTGTGGCGATTCAGAGCCCTCTTGGACCGTCTTGGGGCCCTCTTGGGCCCGAAAAGTTATGCGACAAGCCGCGACGGGCTCCAGGGGGCATGCGCCAAGTCCCCAGTAGATTTGAGAGCTAGCGGTGCGGGACCCTTCAATGATCCTCAGGAATGATGGCTGAGAGGCTTACGGGATCAGGTCAAGACTTCAGGACACTCCAATTCGTGCCTCAGGGCACAGTGGCGGATATCCCATGCAAGGCATTCAATGGTCGGTTATGCTATCTCACCACGTGCAGAAAAGGTGATATCCAATGGTATGCTACTCCAGACTCTGTCATGCTATGCTATCTTAGATTGCCTCATTGGGTACACCCTGTGATGCCACATTATTCTAGGTGGTGCTACGACTACTCTGGTCAGTATGTCATGTGTTATTGTGTTTCGACATCTCTGCATTGCACCTCACCGCGTTGCATTGTACTGCACATGCAGGCGCTCAGCAGAACGAGTACGTACCCTAGCTTGGTCCGTGGTGAAGGGGTTTGGCATGGTGGGGTGAGGTCTAAGGGGGTCCAGAGCATTCGAGGAGGAGGGGGGTTAGAACAGAGGAGGAGGAGGAGGAGGAGGAGGAAACGGAGGAGGAGGAGGAGGAGAAGTCTGAGCAGGAGTAGGAAGAAGGAGGATGAAGACTTTGAACCGTCGATATGTTTTGACGCCTTGAAGAGTTCTAGTTGGTCTGCTGGGATCAGGTAGCGAGAACTGCGGTGTGAGAAGAACAGAGAAACAACATGTTCGCTGGCGTGGACTTTCAATAGTACGTAGCTTATTGCGCCCCGATGTGCAACCCATGTGGGGAGGGGGAATACACGTGGTGCATATGTGGTGTGAGCTACGTGGCACGAGACACGTGGTGGATGCTTTGTGACCGAGTGTTTGTTGAGCGTGGCACGTTGTGTAAGTTCTGCCGTAGAAGCAAGGCGTGAGCTCTGTTGTACAAGCTGTGTGGTGGACGTGATGTGGCTCAAGGGATGCGTTGAAAGCTATCTGGTGTAAGCAATGTGTTAGGTGGTGCAGGCTATGCGGTACGGAGCACGAGGCGCCCACGGGCGCACCCGGCGACAACCCGGGAAATCTTTCCAGCACCAGGCGCCCGTGGGCGAGTCTTTGGAAGATTATCGGGAACCATCCCAGTACGTAGAACAGTAGTAAGCCACCCTAAGTTCACGCCGTGTTTGGGAGAAGAGTAGCAGAAAGAAGGTGTAGGAGGAGGCGGAGGAGGATGAGGAGAAGGAGAAGAGACTAGGAGGTGGAGGAGGAAGGAGAAGGGGTAGGAGGAAGGAGAAGGGGTAGGAGGAAGGAGAGGGGGCGCACGATCAAAGTGCAAGAAGACACCCACGACGCATCATCAGTGTTGCAATCTGCCCTCCCATTTTCCTTGTTTGCACAGGTCCCTAAGATAATGTATGCCCGTTGCGGGAAGGGGCCCTCCAGAAGACCACCGTCTGAGAAGGGACCACCGCGCCCAGATACCAATCTTGGGACTGCAACGCCGCGGGGCAAGAGGTGAATTCGACGCCCTGACATCCCCCAATCGTGCCAGAGCACGAGCAAATTCTGAGTAGAAGCTCGAATTATATTGATTTGTTGTAATAAAGCAATCCAAACATTACCCCCCATTTCGGACAACTTTTACCAACAAAACCTATATATAGCAAACGTTGTATAAAACATTTGCTAACTATTCGTTGCGGACTATAGATATCACGAATCTGTGAAACGGGTGTAAGCGTTCAAGGCCCATGCGCGCGGCGTTGAGGCGCGGGTCACGCTTTCACAACCAAAGAGGCCCTCCGTCCTGGAAGCTGGTGCAAAGTTTTCATACACATGCGCGAAGCGCCAAAGCGACTGCCGCATATTGCAAACCACCCGCACTCCATCCGTGAAACTGCTGCAAAGTTTTAACACGAGTGCGCGCGGCGCCACGGCGAGAGCCACAGTTGGAAATTCACCCGCCCTCTATCCGTTAATCGGTTGCAAATGTTTCAGACGAGTGTACGTGGCGTTAACGAGCCACATTTTGAAAATTGCATGCCCTCTATCAGGGAAAGGCCGTCTGCAAACATTGAAGACGGTTGTGCGCAGCGCTAGGGCGAGAGCCACATCTTGAAAACCATCCGCCCTACATCCGTGACATTGCTGCAGGCTTCAAGCTTCCCGATCACACATGGCGAACGAGTCTCAGGCGACACGCCCCGCCCGCCCAAGTGGCACGCCTGGGGACGCGACGCGGAGGAGCTGCCGATGAGAAGCAGGGGATGCGGCGCCGGGGCCTCCGGCCCCTCCCCGCGCGAGCCCCGCGCCCCACGCCGCAGCCCAACACCATCACCTACAACACCCTCCTGGACGCGTGCGCCCGCTCTGCGGGCGCCATGGCGCGCGTGCCCACCATCTTCGAGACCATGAAGGCGCAGGCCGCGCCCTCTTTCGGATCCCCGCCGACTCTCTCGGCTGCGGCCAGCGGCGCGCGCCGGGCTCGAGCCTGCGGTGGGCTCTGGCTTGGCACGCCTCGCCCGCGGGGAGGAGAGAGAGAGGGTCCGATCTGCCCTGCGAGCGTCCCGGGGCGAGGCTGGGGGCGGGCAGGCTCAGGGGATAACGCAGTCACCCCCTATATCGCCCATGCATCGCCGAAAGCGGCTCGATAATCAGCCTACCCCGCCCGGGAAGGATGAAGCATATGATTGAAGATGGATGGTTCTTTGATGCATGAACTGCTTGCTCTCAGAATCTAAGCGTTCAGGAGCGTGGGTTCGCCATCGGGTACCCTATCGCCGATCTCTCGGCGACACTTTGCCGGTTCAAGGCCGATGTCTCCCACGCTATGTGGCCTTACCTGGTATAACGAAACAATTCGTGGACACTCCCCCGCTCCCCCAAAAGCAAAGTTGGCACGCGGAGGGAAGATTGCGGTCGAAACGCAGCTCGTTCAACCCACCGCCAACATTGAGCAGCTGGGGGTGGGCTTTGATACAGCCAGGGCCCTGAAGAAGGAACCCTTTTCGTTGGGGAGGGGCTCCGCGTTCCTTAAGTGTTTCACAGATTGCCTCAGGTTTTCCTTATGTTTTCGATCGGAAATCGAAGTTGAACTTATGGAATAAAGGGACCTCGTTCCTTATTTAGGGTTCCTTAGGTCAGCGCCCCGACTGTAGATGCATACAACATGAGTGTTCGCTGATTTCTTTCGAGGCTTGTCCGACGCACATGTCGATTCGATCCGATTGTCCGATTCGAGGCTGACCGATCCTGGCCCTGCTGCAGGCAGAGTGGCCGGCTCCCGCGGGCCATGGTTGGCGCGGCACCCCCTCCACAGCGGAGGCCCATGCCAAGCAACACCCTGCTTGCCTGCAGGGTGCCCTGGGGAGGCCCATGCCAAGAGACACCCTGCTTGCCTGCAGGGTGCCCTGGGTTTCTTGGGCTTCGATGGTTTAGCCATGGAGGGCGCGACGTTCCCACGCCAAAGATCGAGGGACGTCCTGGGGTCTCAGGGCTGGGTTTCTTGTGGAAGTTTCCTTGTGGTCGGGCCCCTACACGCCAGTCGTTGGAAGTAGGTATTTTTGGATATCGCAGATCCCAACCCACTTCAAGCGCCTTCCTACCTCAAGAACCGATATGCTTTTGCTGTGTTTTGTGATTCTCTGGGAGGGCTCGAACCCAATCGCGCCAGTCCCCTGATCTCCGAGTCGGGCTCGTGCTGGGGCCCGCCCCAGGAGGCGCGCTCGCAGGTTGTAGGGAGTATCGCGCCGTAGCATCGCTGGCTCGCGCGGAGTGTGCCGCAACGCTGATCGAGAGCTTATGCTGAGCATGAGCCGCGCTCACCTGAGTAGGGATCCCTCTCGCACAGGTGGTCCAGTCCAGTCCAGTCCTACTTCATGTCTTCACCGACCTCTTCCGACCGACGTGTACTTTCTCTGCGTCCCTGCGGGGGCTCGGCCGATGCTGAGCCCGCCGGGCGGGCTGCCGGTGTCGGGGGGTGCCGGTGGGCGTCCTCCCTGGCGGGCTGGAGCTCGCGGGGGAAGTGGCAGTGCCGAGCAGGCGGCACGCGTGCCTTGGCTCTTGCACCAAGGGGCGGCGAGGGCCAGAAGCAGGGCGATGAAGGGGAGGAGGAGGAGGAGGAGGAGGAGGAGGAGGAGGAGGAGGTGGAGGAGGAGGAGGAGCTCCGTAACCATTTTGGCTCATTCCTTTCCGTAGGCCCCACCCCTCCTGGACCCTGCCCCTCGGCATACCCTGCGACCCCAGATTCACGGGGCAACGCGGCGGGCGTGAGGGACGGGGGGGAGGGGGGTTTTGGGCTCGCGGAGTGATGGCAGCGGGACGCGCCCCATGCGGTGGCGCCATCGGCTCGACTCGTGCATCGCGGAGGTCACGTGCGAGCGAGCACGCACGCTTTTTCTGCAGATCGGCTCATCTCTCGGCTCCAGGCAGACCTGGATGCGGTTGTGCAGGACAGGAACGAGGTGCTACAGGTCCTCGACATGCTCGTCGGCGACGAGGCCATCTTGCAGAGGGTCCTCGCGGGCCTCCCCGCCCTGGCCGCCCTGGTCGCGGGCCCCATCCCCAGCTTCGAGGACAAGCTCAGGCGCAACGTCGCCTGGCACGCCGAGGCGGAGGGCCTCGACGTTCGGCGCTGCCCGGCTGCCGACCTCAAGCGAGCCCAGCGCGGCCCTCGTTTCGGAGCGCGGTCACCTCCGGATCCGATCCTCGACACAGTCGGGTTGGCTGTTCATTCGCCCGCGGTGCCGCCGTTCGATATCGCGACATTTGTCGATGCCCCCGATTTCGTGCCGAAGCTCGGTCAGCCGCTATCTCATCGAGCTCGTCAAGGAGGAGCCTGGGATGCGATGTGCCTGCGGGGCATTTGTCTTTTCTTCGCGTTAAGACGTCTCAGATGGGCTTGGCATCCCTTCATTCCGAGCTGTACGTGACGTGCGTCAAGAGACAGAGCAGCACGCTGGCGCAGTAGGCGGTGTTCCTCCTGATGGTCTCGCGCCCCCTCTAGGGCGTCGGCGTGGTGGCAAATTCGCCAGGCTATCGAAAGGAAGTGGCTTCGCGGTGCTCCTGTTCGACCGCTCTGGCAGCCTATCGGCTTGCCCCCCGACCGTGGTGAAGGTCGCTTCTTCTCGTGATTTGATCCCGTACTGGTTGGGCCGCTGTATTTCTGGAGTATTCGGTTTTCATGCCTCGGAGTCGGGCGCCTGCGGTGGCATTTCCATTTTTTCCTTGTTCGGGGCTTCCTGGCACAGCGGGTACGTGTACTGAAAGTGGCTGCCGCCGTGATCTCGCTGTCGCACGGCTTCGCGGGCCTGGGTCTCGCAATTTGGCCTGAACTCCAACGTGTTGCACCTGCATGGGAAGGAGGTGTCTCGCTCCGTCAACCCGTACTTCGTCGCAATCGGCCTGGGCGTGGTATCGTTGCTCTTCTGAGGCATTGCGGTCGGTAGCAAAACAAAAAAAGAGGAAGAGGAGGAGGAGAGGAGGAGAGAGGATGAGAGAAGGTGGACGAAGGGAAGGCCAGGCCTGTCGCCCTGGCCCCCCTCTGCGCGCCGGCGGGGAGGGGTCACAGGGAGAGCCTCGCCGGCTGCACTGAGCCGAAGTACTCGCGGAGGTTCTCCTGGCGGGGTTCTCAGGGCTGTCCACGAGGACGCGGTGAGGCAGCCCGCGACGCAGGCTGGTCCACGGCCTGGCCCTGACCTTCAGTCGGCGGCGAGCGAGCCTCACAGGAGATCGACGCTGAGGTCCTGGGGTCTCGATTTTCTCGAGCCGGGCGTTGTCGCCTTTTTTCCACGCCCTAGGACCCTCGAGCGATGACGCAGAAAGATGGGATCTATGGCTCCAGAGGGGCCGTCATGAGACGGTGAGGAGATGGGCACGGTGGCCTGGGGGACGCGGGCGAAAATGCAGTGCTCCGAGTTCTACAATTCTACAGCGCAGTTGTGCAAGAGAATCGTTTGTTCCACCATCTGCGAACACCTGCCCCAAGGCGGTTGGCATACTCGTACCAGCTAGGCTGGTTCTGATCAGGAGCAGGGGGAAGAGGAGGTCGGGTAGAAGGGAAGGGGGAGGAGACGAGGAATAATGGAAACGGATATCGGACAAATAATGGCAGAAGGGCCAGAGAGGCGGACAAAGATAATGTGAGAAGAGGGGGCGGAGGAGGACGAGGGGCGGGAGAAGCGAGGAGGAGGGGAGGAGGGGGGGAGGAGGAGAGAGAGGAGGAAGAGAGGACGAGGATCTGAGGAGAAGGACGAGCATGAGGAAAAGGAGAGGCAGAGAGGATGTGGGGGAGGAGGAATTGGAAAAGAGGGGGAACAGAGGAGGATGAGGAATACAACGAGGATAAAAAGGAGTGGGGGGAGGAAGAGAACAGCAGAAGGGTATAGACGAGGGGCGAACAGATGCTGGGTTGCGTGGGGTGCATTGGGGCAAAGTCCTCGCCGTTCGCAGCAAATCTCACAGGGCGTCGAGCCGGACATGATCACGTACTCCACGTTGGTGAAAGGACAGCCCCCCCCCCCCCCCTCAGGGCAACTTTTTTGTCGGCACGATCGAAATTTGTACGGGGTGAAGGACGACAAAGGCCGCCAGTTGTTATTGCCAATTTTGAATAGGACACGTTGTCGGTGTCGCCGCGGACGTTATCCATTTGCGACACACAAAGTCGCCTGCCCATGACCGGCCGCGGTCGGTTTGGGACAACAGCTGTTGTTGGGCAGCATACCCACTCTCTCCGTACCCGTTTCGAGCGTGTCGATGCTGATAGATTTCGCACCGAAGTGTTGGCCAGCGGGCGCTCCATGACACCTCCAGGCGTCGATCTCGGACCGATTTCGCCGGGAAGCTCCGGCATCTGGGGACGGCGCTGCGAGCAACATGTCACCACGCGGGCCTCGCCGCTCCAGCCTCGGGCTCGTGGATCGAGCCAGCTCGAGTGACCCTGCGTGAAGATGGGTTTGGGGGTTGCTCAAGGTGCCCCTGGCGCCCCCAGCTATTCGCTCAATCTTGGAGCCCCTGGGGCCCTCTGGGCCTCGTGGGGGGTGCTCTGGAGGCCGTGGGGGCCTCCGTGGAAATCCTGGGGGCACCTTGGGCCAGGGGTACTTCTAGAGCAATACCCGAGTGAGTGAAGAATCCCGGCTGTGAATGGCACTGGCAGCATCGATTTACATTCTTTCGCACGTCGGTTTGGAAGCTTGGAGCGGCGACGAAAACGAGAGAGATAGAGAGAGGTAGGGAGGAGGGAGGGAGGGAGAGAGAGGGAGGAGAGGAGGGAGGGAAAGAGAGAGAGAGGGAGAGAGCAAGCCTGGTCGTGGCTGCAGTCGAGACCGAATTGCTGCCCTCAGCGCGGACTTTCATTATCGGGCAGCTCTCAAGCACTTGCGTGCATGCGCGTGCGTGGAACAAAGACATGCAGCACGATCGACTGCGTGATTCGCTACTTGACGCTTTGAGGGCGCACTGTTCGCGCGCCGTGGAGGCCCGACGCATTCGCTAAGCATTGAAAAGACTACAAAGGCGCACACCAATGTTGGCACGGCCCCCCTCTTCCAGTCTCAGGTTTCGAGCGCTGCGGTATTCTGTGTATGAATGTTGTTATGTTTTTGCATATCGTGCGAGTTTTCCTCCTCTTTACGAGGGTTGTTCACGGGCCCCCGTTTACGGTGCTTCCCGAAGATGCCCCCGTGAAGGTTATCTAGGATGATCTAGATTTGACACTTCGGCGTTTGGCGTTCGGAGACTTCGCCCATTCTTGGGTCATTGATCATGTTGGTACGAGCTACATATGGACACACACACACGTCTTCATGCACAGCTGGGTTGGGCAGAGAGAACGATAAGCCGAATTCAGGATATTGCAGTGCTGGCGACTTGGACTGCGCATTCCAGCTTTTCGACGAGATGAAGCAGGCGCTTGCACCCGACCTTCGAACATTTGGCGAATAAGGGTGGGGAAGTGTTTGTCCGAGTGGTGAAAAGCAGTTCAAGAGCGTAGAAACGAGTATTTCGCAGACGCTGCGGAACATCTTGAGGGGGGCGAGTGGTGTTAAATTGCATGTCATGGGCGCGACTGTTTGAGGAGAATATGACCAAACGGAGGAATTGCAGCAAGGTCGAACGTACGAGTACAAACGCATTGCAGAGTGGAGTTGTAGGCTACGCGTTAAGCATACCTTCATGATCCAGCGTGTAGTTTCCATCTTTGCCGCATCTGGACAGGATGCGAAGTTGTCATTGGACGAGATCGTCTACAACTCATTGCTTGATGGGTGCGGGCGCAAGCAGCGTGTTTCCAAGGCGAAGGACACTTGTTCGCCCTCGCTCTCGTAGAGTCGTTTCTGCTGCGTCGCAGCATCTTCCCATTTGCACATGTGACGCAGGCTCGAACGTGAAGGGAATTTTGTGAATGCGGGTTCCGTGTTGTCCGATTCGCTATCCGTTCGAAAGACAGTCTTGACCGGCTTAGCAGTTGGCCAGTTGGTTCGTTACCAATTTGCATCGTTACGGACATCCGCAATCGCGCATTGGCGTGGGGCGCGGGGTGCAGTGGCCAGAGGCGGAGGAGGAGGAGGAGGAGGAGGAGGAGGAGGAGGAGGAGGAGGGGGAGGAGAATGACGAGGAGGCGGAGCATCTCGGTCTTGTCTCTGCGCCAGCGGCTCATGGCGTGCAGCGTGGACCGCAGTGGTCGGAGCCTCTGGCGGCTTGTTTCGGACACCCAGCACCACGAGGAGAAAAGTGCTGGCTCTGTGCGATCAGGCCCCGCGCCTTGGGGGGGGAGGAGCCGCACCGCCTCCCTCGTGTGTCATTCATGGGAGGTGTCCTTCAGCACTTGCGCTGCATGCCCACGGGTCGTTGAGAGTAGGTATGTTTGGATTCCCAGGTTCCAGTCTACTTGAAGCGCCCTCCTACTCCAAGGATCGAGTGGCTTCACCTTGTCCGTCCTCCTTGGGGGGGCGGGCGGAGGCCCAATGTATGTTCAACTCCTCCCTACTTCATGTTTCTACCTACTTCTTCCGACCGATGGGCATCTGTGCTCGGAAACCATGGGGTCCGAGCAGGTGGGGTCGGAGGATCGCGCCGCATCTCCGATACATCGCCGATGCGGCTCGATGTGGGGCCCGATCTGATTCACGTCGACGTCGCCGATGCATCACCCAAGCTTGCGATGCATCGCCAGTGCATCGCCGATGTATTGGCGATGCGGCGCAATCCTCCGACCCCATCTACTCCGACCCCATCCAGGAGGCCTCTAACTCCAGACGGCGATGGCACGCTTGGGGGTCTCGGGGGAGACCCCAGGCGTGGCATCGCCCAGAGGTCGCCCCCGCACCCCCGAGGGGTTCTCGGTTGACGGTGTTCTCCAGGTCTTCCTTGCTTCAGAGGAGTAAATCGGAAAAGGAAAAACATAATAAACACAAGCTTTTGGCGCTCCGCGCGGATTTCTTGAAACTGCGCTGCCCCCCCCCCCCCCCGGCAGCGCTTCCGGCGCCGCCCCTGGCACGTTCCGCGCGCCAGGGAGGGGGTCCAGCGTAGATGCAAGAAATCCGCGTGGAGCGCCAAAAGAGTGTGTGTATGCTGGCAAGATCATGATCGGAGGCGAGCCGGTGAGGTCGCGGTGATTCGGAGACCCCCCCACCTGGAAGTCGGTGTCGGTTGCGTGTTCATGTCGTGCGTGCGGGCGAGGCGAAGCTGCGCGGGCGGGCGGGCGAAAGGAACCCTCCTGGCCAGGGCGCCGCCGGGTCAAAAAGCCGCATCGCCTGGTTGTCCGGCGGTGGCCGTGGGTGTCCCGCCGTGGTGTCCCGCCGTGGTGTCACGCCGTGGTGTCCCGATGGTGTCATGTGGTGTCCCGTGATGTACCGCGGTGGCCCGTGGTGTCCCGGGGCGCGGTGTCTCGTGGTGTTCCGGGATTCTTGTGAGATCGATCGTGAGATCGAGAGCGAGATCGATCGTAAAATCGTTTGTGAGATCGATCGTGATATCGACCAAGTGGGATCGAGTGTGAGATCGATCGAGTGGGATCGATTGTGAGGTCGATTGAGTGAGACGTTAGTTCCCCCCCCCCGAACCTCCTTATCACCCCAGGGGTGGTCGTTTTGGTAATGCTACGCTACCAGGCTTTCACGTTTTCCAGGATCCCCAAGCTTTCCCGACGCTCCACGCGGGCTGCAGTAACGAGGGCCGCCAGATTGTCTGCAAATCTTGGAGCCTATCCTGCGCCGAACATATCATGGCACCGTTCTCGTCCTGCTGATCTTCGCAACGGAGCCAGATGATCGCCGAGCGCGTTCCACTACGCGCAAAGTGCCTACTCGCAAACGTCCGCAACAAAAACACACGTCTGCTTTCTACGTAATTTACCGTAGATCCCCCGCGGGGGATCCAGGCCAGTTGCGAGCAGTGACTCTGCGAGTAGTGGAGCGCGCTCGTCTTGATGAGCTCCCCGCCGAGAGGCCGTGCGGACCGCAGGGCCACAGGGGCACGCGCGCGCTTCCACGGGGGCGGCGCCCGCCCCCTCGCCGAAGCAGTTGTCGTGACTCGGCGGGTGCTGGCTGCCTCACGGATGGGTTCGTCGCGACTACTCAAGGGCTCCGAGCGCCAGCTCGTTGTCTCCACTGTCCTCTTCCCCTTCCTCCCCTCGGAAGAAGAAATTGCACCAGTGAGTGGCTGGTTTTCGCTGAGGACGTCGACCGGGAACCCGGGAGCCCAGGAACCCAGAACCCACCGAAATCGGCCCGGAACCGATAAGCGGGAACCCGGGAACCTAGGAACCGGGAACCCGGGAACCCGGCCTGCTACCAAAATCGGCGGGTGGGCCACGCAGACCTTGCTGAGACCTCGCGGTTCCCTGAGGGGCTGCGAAGTGTGCAGTTGTCGCCACGTTCGCGGTCTCCTGGGAGGCACGGCGGAGTGGGGGGCCACGCAGATCATGCCGAGACCTCGCGGTTCCCGGAGGGGCTGCGAAGTGCGCAGTTGTCGCCATGTTCGTGGGTTCTTGAGAGTTCCATCGGAGAGGAGGGCCACGCAGACCCTGCTGAGACCTCGCGGCTCCCTGCGCACGGAGGGGTGTTCCTGCGCACGGAGGATTTTTCAACATGCTCGTTCGCACTGGGCAGTCCTGGGCATAGCCACGATATGTGGACAAAGGGTTGGGTACATCGCGGGGTGATTAGGACCTCCGATCTGTGGCGACGGCGCGGCGCCGTGCGCCGGCAGCGGCGAAGCGCGGCCGACGGAGCCGGCGGCAGGGCGAGTTGCCGCAGCGGGGCGGCCGCGCGGCGGCAGCTTCCGGGGCACAGGGCGGGCAGTCTTCAAGATGCCGAGCTCGCCTCCCGGATCTCCGGCGATGCGACTTCTGCTCGAGCCCGCGCGCTCTTCCGCGACGGCGGCCTCTGGGGTCCTCGCTCGGCCCCGTGCTCGCGGCCGCTGCTCGCTTGCATCCTGGCGGGCTCGGCCTTCTGCACCGCCAGGGCCTCCGCCGCCCGGGCCTCCCGCGGGCGGGGGGCGGTCTCGGTCCGCGGCGCGGCGCGGTCCGACGACCCGCGCCGCGTCGCCCCTTCTGGCACTCCGGGCACCGCCCTCGCCGACGAGGCCGGGCGGGCCCGAGGGCACGCCCTCTGCGCGCCGCTAGGCCAGGGCTCCAGCCAACCGAGGCCAGCCCCCCCCCCTTCCCGAGGCAAGGGGCCCCCGCTGAGCTGGTCCTCTCCAAACGGTTCCCCCATCATTCGGCGGCGAGATTTGGGGGGGGGAAACATGAGAGAGAGGCGGGGGGGCGTTCTCAGAAGGCTCGGAAGGCCCCCGGCCTACTGAGAAGTGCCCTGGGCCTTCCCCGGATAGGCAGAAAATTCTTCGGAAGGCCAGAAGGTGTCTGAGAAACCCCGCCGCCTTCTGAGAAGGCCTCCTCCTTCTCACTCTCTCCCGGACGCGCCGCCGAATTTGGTTGTTGGCGCTGGCTTTTCGGGACAATCCGAGCACCCCCAGAACGCCCTCGGCGAGGCGCAGCTGTTGGCAAGCATCCCGAGGCTTGAAAACCGCCGAGAACCGACGAACACAACGTCCGAAAACCCTCCTCGCTCGCCGCCGAAGCATCTTCGCCCTCATCCCCGGAAGGGCTCGTTGCGGACGCCTGGTGCGGTTTGCGGTCTCGGCCAGTGCAGAGCAACGCCCGCCCCCGTCCCCGCAACTCACGAGGAGGTGCTTGCCGACATGCGCGCCGCGGGCGTGCCTCCGTCCAACTACACCCTCAGGCGGCCCCCATTTCTCCCCTCCTTCAGGGGGGGGGGGCAGACAGAAGAGGGAGGACGGGGAGAAAGCAGGAGGGAGAGGAGGAGGGGGTAGGGGGAGGGGGTGAGGAAGGGAGGGACGAGGGACGGGGAGGAAGCAGGAGGGGGAGGAGGGGGAGGAGAGGGGGAGGGGGAGGGGGAGGGGGAGGGGGGGAGGGGAGGAGGAGGAGGAGGAGGAGGAGGAGGAGGAGGGAGGAGGAGGAGGAGGAGGAGGAGAGGAGCAGGAGAGGAGAGGAGGAGGAGGAGGAGGAGGAGGAGGAGGAGGAGGAGGGGGAGGAGGAGGAGCGAGGAGGAGGAGGAGGAGGAGGAGAGGAGGAGGAGGAGGAGGAGGAGGAGGAGGAGGAGGAGGAGGAGGTAGAGGAGGAGGAGGAGGAGGAGGAGGAGGGAGGAGGAGGAGGAGGGGGGAGGAGGGGAGGGAGGGGAGGGGGAGGGGAGCGGGGGAGGAGTGAGGAGGAGGAGGAGGAGGAAGAGGAGGAGGAGGAGGAGGAGGAGGAAGAGAGGAGGAGGAGGAGGAGGAACAGGATAGGAGGAAGAGGAGAGAGGAGAGGAGGAGGACAAGGAGGGGGAAGGAGGAGGAGGAGGTGTGGAGGAGGAGGAGGAGGAAGAGGAGGAGGAGGAGGAGGAGGAAGAGCGAGGAGGGGAGGAGGAGGAGGAGAAGGAGGAGGAGGAGGAGGGGCACGAGAGGAGGAGGAGGGGCACGAGGAGGAGAGAGGGAGGAGGAGGACGGAGCCAGGAGCAGGAAGAGGAGTAGAAGGAGAAGGATGAGCAGAGAGGGAGAAGGAGGAGGAGGTGGAGGAGGGGGGGGGAGGGGGAGGCGGAGGAGGCGGAGGAGGAGCAGGAGGGGGAGGAGGAGGAGGAGGAGGACGAGGACGAGTACGAATAAGTAGAAGACGAAACAAGATAATAAACATTCGAACACTAATATAACGAAATAAACACTTAGCCGCTAGGCATAATAATACTCAGAAAAAGAAGAAGAGGAGGAGGAGGAGGAGCAGGAGGTGGAGGGGAAGAGGACATAGAGGAGGAGGAGGAGGAGGAAGAGGAGGATGAGTAGGCTGAGGAGGAGGAGGAGGAGAAGGAGGATGATGAGGAAGAGGAGGAGGAGGATACGAAAGATGAGGATGAGGAGGAGGGGAAGGGGGGAGGAGGAGGAGGAGGAGGAGGAGGAGGAGGGGGGCATGTATTGCGATGATGATGTTGTTGTTGATGATGATGATGATGCTGATGATGGGGATGGTGATGATGTTGTTGGTGATGATGATGGTGGTGGTGATGCTGATGCTGTTGCTGATGCTGCTGATGCTGATGATGATGCTGATGATACGGATACTGGTGCTGATGATGGTGGTTGTGATGATGCTGATGGTGATGAGGATGGCGCTGATGATGCTGATGATGACGGTGCTGCTGCTGATGATGATGATGCTAATGTCGGGGATGGTGATGAGGATGTTGCTGGCGACGATGGTGCTGATGATACTGATGGTGGTGATGATGCTGATGATGCTGTTGATGATGCTGATGATGATGATGATGATGATGATGATGATGGCGGTGATGATGATGCGGAAGATGATGATGCTGATGATGAGGATGATGATGCATGCGGTTGCTGATGATGCTGATGATGATGATGCTGAGGCTGATGATGATGACGATGCTGATGATGCTGATGATGATGTTGATGCTAATGATTATGATTGTGATGATGATGAGGCTGATGATGATGCTGATGATGCTGATGCCGCTGATGATGATGATGATGATGATGATGATGATGCTGATGATGATGATGATGATGCTGATGATGATGCTGCTGCTGATGATGATGATGATGCTGATGATGATGATGATGATGATGATGATGATGATGATGATGATGATGATGATGATGATGATGATGGTGGTGGTGGTGGTGGTGGTGAGGAGGAGGAGGAGGAGGAGGAGGATGTTGAAGAGGAAGAGGAGGAGGAGGAGGAGCAGGTAGGAGGAGGAGGAGAAGGAGGAGCAAGGGGAAGAAGAGGAGGAGGAAGAGGAGGAGCAAGAGGGGGAAGAGGAGGGAGAGGAGGAGGAGGAGGAATGGGGGGAAGAGGATGGGCAGGAGGAGGAGGAGGAGGAGGAGAAGGAGGAGGAAGAGGAGGAGGAGGAGGAGGAGAAAGAGGAGGAGGAGGAGTTGGGGAATGGGGAGAGGAAGGAGGAGGAGGAAGAGAAGGAGGAGGAGAGGGGGGTGGAGGAGGAGAAGGAGGAGGGCGGGGGGTAGGGGGAGGAGGGTGCGAGTGGCAGGATGAGTAGAACAAAAGATGGATATGTGGGGTGGAGCAGGAAGGGGAGTTGTGCGAGGAGGGGGTGGGTGGAAGAATGGGAGGAGCCAATAGCGGAGGAGGAAGGAGGAAGGAGGAAAGATTTTGGTTGGTCTGGGCGTGGGGGTTTAGAGGGTTCGGAGGGGAGGATGTGCCCACACTGGTCACGAGTCGCCTCCTCATACATTTCATTCTCCACCTCTGTCTCGCTTTCCCCCTCCATTCCTCCTCTTCCTCGTTATCATCCCTCTTATGTCTCCTCCGCGGCTTCCCATTGCTCCTCTCTATGCTCCTCATCGCCTCCGCAGGCGTCATCCCCTTCTCTTCATCATGCCTCTTATCACGCTTCCTCATCATCTCCATCCCGCATCATCCATCCTTCTCCCGTGTCGCCCCCTGTCCACATGAGCAACGGGATTTGAAGCGTGTTCCCTAACCGGCGTCTAAATGTGATCTTCATCGCCTTTCGTCATACTTACGTATACGTATTGTCAGCACCCTCTCTTCATTTCTTTGTAGTGGTCCTATAGAAGGCATGTGCTGTTTTTATTGTACTCGGGGACGCATACATTCTCACTATGTAAATGACTCTCTCAAGTGATTGTGTCTGGACAGGGGGACGCTTCTCCCGCATATTGGTGCTAGCGTTGAGGCTAAGTACTCATCAGTTGATGCCCTACGTGATTGCTTCCAGAGGGCAGTACTCGTGTTTGCCACAGGTGTGCTCACGCTGTAGCGTTCTTGGCATCGCTTGGACGTGTGCATTTTTCCTTCGGCGAGGACCATCGAGGAGCATCCTTGATCATTTGGCGAATAAGCCACGCACGAAACCGAAAAAACACAGGGAATGGACGTCCGAGCGATGCCCAGCGTTGGCCTCATTTGAATATTGGCGTGTTGCTACAGAAGGGCGCTCTCGCTCTAGCGCGGGCCACGCTTCTATTTCTGAGTCCTTCCTCGCCGTTGTCGTCCCCTCGTTCTCATCCTCCGCACTCCCCAGGTCCTTCTGCTCCTCCCGCCTCGCCTGCTGCTGCTCCTTCTCACTCGCCCTCACCGTTCTCCTATAAACTCGTGCCTGTCCTCGTGCTCATCCTCGACCCCCTCCTCCAGTGTGCAGGGCGCCCCTTGCATCACAGGACGGGGTCTCTTGTGGGACCCAGGTCCACTAGGGCACACATCGGCGGATGGAGACGAATCGGCGTCACTGAAATGACCGATGGGACAGGCAGGATGTCTGACATGGTGCGCGCGCAGCTAGCTTGCCTCCTCCCCTTCCCCTCTCCGCCCTCCCTCCCTGCGCCCTCCCACTGTCCAGCATCATGGTGAAGCTGCTGGGCCGCTCGCACCACCTCAACGACGCGTTCGCACTCCTGCACGAGTTCCAGGAAGTGTACGACTTGTCACCGAACGTCCAGGTCTACACCTGCCTCATCCAGGCCTCTCCTATCCCGCCCCTGGTGTGGGAGAGTGCGGGAGCAGCTTGACCGGGCGGGGCGCACGCGTTGAAATTCGGTGTTCGCCCTTCGTTGTGCAGTCAATGCGTTGATGTCATCCTCACTTCGGGCTCAGGTGGGGCTCTGTTTTTCGGGCCGCTCCTTCGATCCAGGTCGGAGACCTGTTCGCGTTGGAGGCTCGCCGTGGCCAGAAAAGCCCCGTCGTCCTGTACTCTGCGTCCCTAGTGGTCGCAGGATGACTGCACATCGCTCCCTCGACTCCCCACTTACAGGGTGCGCGCGTTCTCGCCTCGTCCCCGCGCGGGCGTTCTCTCTCTGCGCTTCACGGAGCAACCGAGAAGGAATAGGGAAGGCCAGGGGGGCAGGAGTTCGTGGATGGGAAGAGCATCAGAGGACGAGTAGACATATCCGCTGTGCTGATCCCCCTCGCCCTCTATCCCCCGGAAAAGGAGGAAAACAACCAGAAAGGACGACGGAGCGGGACGAGAGAGGAGGGCGGTCAGCGCAGGCGCTGCGGCCGCGGGGGGGCGCGTGGCGTAGCCGCCCCCCGCCGCCCCAGGGGCCTCTGGAGGGCCCAGGCGCGCGCCCGGCCCGTGTTTTTTCCCCCCCGCCCGCTTCCCTCCCCCTTCCTTTTGTCTCTCGGGCCGGGCGAAAGGGGGGGATTGGGAAAGGGGGGGAATTACGAAATCTGCTGCATGCAGCTGGTTTCGACCTCACCGAGGGGCCCATTCCTTGATACATAGCCGCCTCTGGCGCCGGGAGGCCCGCGTTTTTCCCCCCTCCCGCTTCCCCCCCCCCCCCTTTGTCTCGTTCAGAACCGGCCCCGAACGTATCCCTGTCCCTAAGATTGTCACGCCAAAAGGCGATGACAATCTTAGGGATCCGCCCTCAAACAAAAAGAAGGGAATCCCTAAGATTGGCATCGTGATGAGGAGATGCCCAGCATAGGGGTAGGGATATGTTCCAGGCTGGTAAGTTCAGAACCGACCCCTAGCAAGCCATCCCCCTCCATGACGTGTCCCTCGCCTCGCCCCAATGCGTACGTGTGCGGCCCGAGGGGAGCTCGAAAGGCGAGGGCAACGTCACGGAAGGGGACGGTTTGCCAGGGGTCGGTAGGGCCGCGCCCGGGCTCCGTCGCGTCGTCTCTCCGTCGCCGTTTCTCTTTTTACGGGGCCCCTCTCGGCTGGTAGAGAGAAGAAGGGCAATTGTTGCGTGGGCCCCCTGCAGCAGAGGGGGCAAGCGGCAGGAAGCAGGGTGCCGGGGAGGTGGAGCGGCAGCGTGGGGCAGCTCCTCCTCCTCCTCCTCCTCCTTGTCCTCCTCCTCCTCCTCCTCCTCCTCCTCCTCCTCCTCCTCCTCCTCCCCCGCAGCGTACTGGCCCTGCTCCTCCTCCTCCACCTCCTCCCACTCCTCCTCCTCCTCCTCCTCCTCCTCCTCCTCCTCCTCCTCCTCCTCCTCCTCCTCCTCCTCTTCCTCATCGATGGCGGAGGACGTGGAGGAGTAGGGGTTGCGGAGGACGTCCACGAGTTGGGCAGGGAGAGGGCGGCGGTGAGGTAGTTCAAAGAAGAAAAATCTCCTAAACATAAACTTTGGGCGCTCCGCGTGGATTTCTTGGATCCGCGCTGGTCCCCCCTGGCGGCGCCTTCGGCGCCACCCCTGGCGCGCTCCGCGCGCCAGGTAGCGGGGTCTGGCGCAGATCCAAGAAAACCGCGCGGAGCGCCAACAGTTTACGTGTATGGTGTTGTTTCTTCTTCGAGTGGTGTCAGAAGATACGGGTAGTCCCTCTCTTTCCCTCCACCGCCCCGTGGTTTGGCCACGACAAAGCTGCGGTGGGAGCTGGGTTGGGCCAGTATCTCCTTCTTTCTCCCTATCCATCCCCTCCTCTCTCTCTGTCTCTTTTTTCTACTTTAAGCGCGTTTGGCTAGCTTGCCAGTGCGGCCTATTCGCAGACCTTGGTTCGCCGAGGGTGGGTGTGGAAGAGTCGGCGGTGGGGGGAACCGGAGGCCCAGGAAGCGGAGGCTTCGGAGCTCGTCAACGCTAGGGCCAGAAACGAGAGGCAGGGACAGCAGAGCATCACGTTGGTGCCCATGCGTCCCATGCGCGTGAGTTGTTTGGTTGTGTTGTACTCGTGCGCTCGCTCGCTCGCTCTCTCTCTTTCTCTCTTTCTCTATCTCTCTCTCTCTCTCTCTCTTTCTCTCTCTATCTCTCTGCATGCATTGATTGAGCTATTGCCGCTTCGGAGTGTGTCCGGGGAAGGGTGGGCTGGTTTCTGGGGAGGCGTTGTGATGTCAGCATTGTGATCCTCAGGGTTGGGCAGCATCCTTTCAGTTTTAGACCAGCGTCAGTTGTGTGTTGCACGACCGCCTGGATTCAGTGCTGCACCGTTACAGGAAAAGGAGGCGGAAGACGCCGATATTTGGATGCTCGTGTATGGTTGAGATGGGGTCGGTAACGCCGCCTCCCCGCACCCCGTCCCGTCAGCTGCAGGACCTCTGCGCGCATTCGCAGACCATGTGGTCCAACTACCCGACAGCACCACTTGCGTTGCGAAGCGCGAAACGACCCGCGGTGCAACGATCGGACAAGGCATAAAGCACGCATATCAACACAAAGCGCAACAGGCCATCGTCATTACGAACCCAGTACACTTCCACAGCATCCCCACGCCCACTTGGGAAAAACGTTTTGTTCGCTTGACTTAGACAATCGACCACTACGACTTGCTGTGATCACCCGACAGGAACGCAGCAATGACAAACAAATTGAACGCTGGGCCAACCAATGTACCGCCGGGAATTTCACGCCAGGCGGCAATGCTTCATTCCTTGAATTCAGCTAGGCTCCAAGGCAGATGGAATTTGAGTCGAGCGCTCTCGAAGGCACAACATTGACGTACGACCACTTGCCTTGATTCTTCCAAGGAGCATACAACCGAGACGTTCAGTGAAAGACATATTCGGGCTAAGGATGCTTGGATTTTGGCCGCGCGCGCATCCTGCCCTCCCGAGCGCTGCGGCACGCCAGCCGTGCATCCACGGCAGGCAGGGGATCGCTGTTATCGTTGTTATCGTTGTCAGCGTTGTAATCGTTATCTTTGCTTCAGGAGGGAAAAAACACACAGACACAATTAATCCTCGATTCCCCAGAAGATATAGGAAAATATGGGAAGTGGGGGGGAAGACAGAAACCCCGAAAACATGGGTAAATATGGGAATATCTTTATTTGTATGTTTTTATTTGTGTGTCCTGGGTCCCCTTCAGTCGTGGCGCGCCAGGCGTGTCTGCACGGCAGGCAGGTGAAGCGCGCCCTGCAGGTGCACGACCAGATGGCGCGCAGCTGCCGCCCGGACGCCAAGGCCCGCTCGGCGGGGCCGCCCGCGCGGTGCGACGAGGAGGACGGTGTGTCGGAGGAGAGTATCCACCTCCTCCTCCTCCTCCTCCTTCTCTTCCTCCGCCTCCTCCGCCTCCTTCTCTTCCTCATTCCTTCTTCTCCTCCACGTGCTCCCGTGAAACCGCGCCCTCGCGCACACGGAATGCGAGATTGCCGCGCCCGCATCCCTTTCATGTATGTGGCAAGGGAGCTCTACGAGTTCCCGGCGGTAACCAAGGTTTACGGTTAACCGCCGGCTCCCAGTGTGTCGGAGGAGAGCGAGGAGGGGGGCGAGGAGGCCCAGGAGAAGGACTCGAGGTATTCAACCCGTCTGGAGTCCGAGGTGGTCGTGGGAAGACTCGCCGATACGGTTCGGTGTCTCGGTTGAGCAGCTCGAAGGTTGGAAGGGCACGGCGACCGAGTTTGTCTCGGATTGCGATTCACTCGTTGGGGACATTGCTCGCCGTTTCCTGATGTTTGTTTTCTGTTCAGGCGCCGCTGACATCGTCGCGCGCCGAATTAGATATATGAATAGATGGACGGAGGAGGACTCGAGGTATTTCACATGGCCCGTGGGCGTCTTAGCCCCGTCACATGGGCCCAGCCGCCTGGAACCGCCACCCTGCAGGGTACGGTGGCCCGACGCACCGCATGTCCTGGGACCATATGGGTCCAGACTGCACGGGCGGGACCCGGGAACCCAGAGGGCCTCGGCGCCGGCGCCCAAGCACCTCGGCTCCAGCGTTGGAGTGCATCAGGAAGAGGACGAGAAGGAGGACGAGGGATGGGTGGTCGCGGTATTGGCGGCGCACACTGGGTGAGGGCGAGTGAAGAGCGAGCCAGAGGGCCCGCAGGAGGAGGACGAGGAGGAGGAGGAGGAATAAGAGAAGGAGGAGGAAAATGAGGCGCTGGAGGATGGGAGCCGATTGGGCTTCACCACCAACACGTGGGCACCATCGGTGCCGTCATTGGCCTTGCCATCGTCATCGGCGTGATCAGCATCGGTGCCGTCATTGGCCTTGCCATCGTCATCGTCATCGACGCCGCCGGCATCTCTACAATCATCATCGTGCAAGCCGTTGCCGACGTCTCCATGATATTACGCCCGCCCGAGTCACCGACTCGCGCTTGAATGTCCGCGCGCCAACGCG